CCTCCGCCACTGATTGATTGGAGTCTGAAGGCCAGGAGGAGGGACCAAAAGGTCTGCCTTTTAGCTGCTCGCCAGTCACCGCTGCCACTGATTGATCAGCTCCCGCTCCCTCAGCTCCCTAGCCTGGTGTTTGGTCAAGCCTTTTGGACATTATGGACCCGGGGTTTTTATATATTAGGATAGAAGATATATAAAGCCTAAGCGACTGCTATGACCTAAAAACTGAACAACTGGTCGCTATGACACGCACTGACCACCAAGGGGCAGATGCTCATGCTGGAGCTGACCCCTGGTGGACAGTTCGCGCCCACAGCCAACCTCATGCAGCCCCTCCCCCCACCCAACTGGCCCCCACATCGGCTCTGACTGGGGGGCTGGCTGGCCAACTTCCTGAGGTCTCTCCTCCTGGCCAGCAGGCCCCCCAATAGGCCTCGATCACCAGCCAGGCCGAGGGACCCTGAATTCATGCACCGGGCCTCTAGTAAAAGCATAAAAGGTATAGAAAAAAACAGAGGTCATCAGTTTCATAAAACTTTTGTTTCATTTATCTGCGTTTAACCTTTCTAGGAAGCTGGCCTAAGTTAGGATGACACACAGAAATATAATTTTGTATGATTTTAATTAAGCTGAGGCTTATACATATGGCAAGTTGTTTTAAAAAATATATATTTTTATTAATTTCTTATAGTAACATACTATCTTCATAGAAAAGTTGAAAAATACTGAAAAGCACAAACAATCGTTGATCGGCTGCCTCCTGCATGCTCCCTACTCGGGATCAAGCTCACAACCCGGGCATGTGCCCTGACTGGGAATCGAAATGTGACCTCCAGCTTCACAGGTTGACGCTCAACCACTCAGCCACACGGTTGAGCCTGCCTTCTATTTTTATTTTTTTACATTTATTTATTTATTTTAATCCTCACCCCAAGCTATTTTTCCATTGACTTTCAGAGTATGGAAAAGAGAGAAAAAGACATAAATATTGATGTGAGAGAAACACATCAATTGGTTGCCTCCTACATGCACCCAGACTAGGGCCCAGGCTGGGGAGGAGCCTGCAAACGAGGTATGTGTCCTGGACTGGAATTGAATCCGGGACCCTTCGGTCTGCAGGCCAGCACTCTATCCACTGAGCCAAACCACCTAGAGCTTGCCTTCTATTTTATTTTTAATTTTTAAAAATATATTTTTGGAGAAGCCAAGATGGCGGCATAGGTAAACACCGGAGTTAGCTGCCTCGAACAACCACTTCAAAATACAACTAAAAGATGGAATGGACATCGCCCAGAACCACCGGAAGACTGGCTGAGGGGAAATTCTTCAACTAGAAGGAAAGAGAACAGCATATGAGACTCAGAGGAGGCGCAGTGTGGAAAATATAAAGGTGCGGAGGTACACACGGAGCGGGCTGGTAGCTGAGGGTGCGGTTGGCGGTTTCAATCGGGATGG